TAAACACAAAAAGTAGGAAATGAGAAATGAAGAACCAAAAAAACCTACAAGAAATACAGATAATATGTAACAAAATCACAAAGGTAAGGTCTTCTCCATCAGTAATACTTCAGCTGTAAGTATTTAACTCTGCACTCAGAAGGCAAAGACTGGCTGAATCAACAAGAACCAACTATATGTTGTCTACAAGAGACTCACAGACTCATATTAGCCTAAAGGACACACATATGCAAAGTTTTTTGTTTGTTTGTTTTTTGTTTTTTTTGTTTTTGTTTTTGAGACGGAGTCTTGCTGTGTTGCCAGGCTGGAGTGCAGTGGTGATCTTGGCTCACTGCAACCTCTGATTCCTGGGTTTATGTGATTTTCCTGCCTCAGCCTCTGGAGTAGCTGGGATTATAGGCATGTGCCATCAAACCCTGCTAATTTTTGTATTTTTTGTAGAGACAGGGTTTCACCATGTAGGCCAAACTGGTCTCGATCTCCTGACCTTGTGATCCACCCACCTCAGCCTCCCAAAGTGCTGGGATTACAGGCGTAAGCCACCATGCCCGGCCACACATACGCAAAAATTTTAAAAATAAAAGCCAATAATTAGGTATGGGGTTGGCGCCTGTAATCCCAGTTGCTCAGGAGACTGTGGAAGATCTCTTGAGCACAGAAGATCAAGATGAATTTCAACAACACAGCAAGACCCTGTCTGGAAAAAAAACCAAACTAAAAAAGTTGCCCGACATGCTGGCATGCGCCTGTACCAGCTACCAGGGGAGGCTGAGGTGGGACAATCACATCAGCCCAGGAATTCAAGACTGCAGTGAACCATGATCCGACCACTTCACTCCGCCCTGGGTGACAGAGAGAGACACTGTATCTAAAAAAGAAGAGCAAATAAAAAGATATGCAAGGGCACATCCCCAGGAGGGAAGTTATCCTCACCCAGGGAGACCAGGTTCCTATAATTCTCCAACATCACAGCCCTGTATAGAGTCCTCTGAGCAGGGTCCAGGCATTTCCACTCCTCCTGAGAGAATTCTATGGCCACATCCCTGAATGTCAACAGACCCTGAAATGAAAACACATTTTAACCAAATGGTTATGGGCGGAATTCTTATCTTTACAGAAAATGAGAAGAAAAGAGAGGTGAAAGCATGGATTTAAATGCAGTGAATATTCTAGCAAATCTGAGTAAGGGATTTCTCACCACATTTTGTCTTCCCAGTTGTGTTTTACCAAACTTTTTTTTTTTTTTTTCCTGAGGTGGAGTCTCACTCTGTTGCCCAGGGTGGAGTGCAAAGGCACAGTCTCCACTCACTGGATCTCCACCTCCCAGGATCAAGCGATTCTCCTGCCTTAGCTTCCAGAGCAGCTGAAATTACAGGCATGTGCCACCAGAACCGGTTAATTTTGTATTTTTAGCAGAAATGGGTTTTCACCGTATTCACCAGGTTGGTCTCAAACCCCTGACCTCCTGATTCTCCTGCCTCAGCCTCTCCAAGTTCTGGAATTACATGCATGATCCACTGTGCCCAGCCCAGAAACTTTTATTGACACACCAAGTGACATTCAGTATCTAGATATGACAGAGTATGAGTGATGTCTTCAGAGATGACAACGTCCATAGTGAAAGATCAGAAACTAATATCTGGCTGGGTGCAGTGGCACATGCCTGTTATCCCAGCTACCTGGGAGGCTGACAGAGGAGAATTGCTTGATCCCGGGAGGTAGAGGTTGCAATGATCTGAAATCACACCAATCCAGCCTGGGCAACAGAGACCCCATCTCAAAAAAAAAAAAAAAAAA